AGGAGCAGAATTTCACCGTTTGTATTTATGTTGTTAGCAGGAGGACACACAAGTGCACACACACAAACACACTAAATCAGAAAAGATAGAAGACCAGTCTATCAACATAGCTTTTATGTTATGTCTAGGCCCTTCAACTTCAGTAGATAGTTCAAGAGACGGGAACTTTGCTATTAACCCTTAGGCATAAAAGCATTTCAGCATCATCAGACTCCCCTTCTTCCTCCTTCTTGACTGTTCACCATCTTAAGTATTGCAGCATAGGTAATTGTGAAGAGAACTGAAAAGACTTAGGGAATAAAGGAGAGAGGGAGAAATAGAAAATAGAATACCTCTGGCCCTCCCCTTCTTTAATTTCTCCTTGATCACAGTCACTTTTTCATTCACTGGTTTTACTTGCCCTGTTACAGATCCGTGCTTTGAGCTTTCTTCAGCTCCTCAAACAAACCTCAGCTTAGAACTGTCGCCTTCATCTGCTGCAGCCCAGACCCATCCTACCCTGAAACACACATCTTCCCCGTACACCTGACCTGCTCCCTGTGGAGCTTTCAGGGCCGCCGTGCCCTCCAGCATCCGACTGAATCTTTTAAACTGTGGGAAGCTGTTCTGGTACTGGGTCCCTTTGATTGAAACAATCTAGTGAACAGGTTTTAAATTAATTTGCTGGTCTCAAAACTGACACTATGAATGTTTGGAGGCAAGATTTGGCAACAGAGACTTAGCTAACTGCGAGGTACTACTGTTAGCTTTCTGCTAGACACACAGGTGCATACTCCTGAGTAGTGCTGCAGCTTCGCTATGCTGACTGGGGCCTCTGTTTAATGCAGTCATTTTGGATTGAGTTAGAAAAGTCTAACCTGTTTTTCAAACATGACACTTCTAGTACTGATGAAAAAAAATGAAAGCCTGTAAGCTGATTTTTATTTGCTGTTACACAGGGATGTGTCATCCAACCTTTTGTCTTCTTTTCCTGTGACGGGGCTACATGGTTTAACTCATTTAAAATTAACAGGAAATCATGCCCTACAAAGTTTGATATCATCTGAAAATTTTCCAGAACTCAAGTGAGTATATCATTAAAACTAATAAGCCACATTTGTGTTCATGTGCAATGGAAGGTGTGTCAGTGTGTAACGCATGTTACTTCGTATTGTCAGTCTTTGATCTGTGCTATTAAAACTAAAGCAAATATGATTAAAATGATAGACTTCTTTTATTATGCTCACTTTTAACTGAAGAAACTATGAAGGGTTTTGAAATATTAACCCCAGTACTTGCTTAATACGAGCCACATCTGCTTCCTGGTGATATGTTTCAAAAGCTGTTAAAACAATATTGCTAGCAGCTTAGTGATATGTTCTTCTATTGGACTGTGTTTACAAAACTTCCATTACACTTAATGAGAACACAGCAAATATCAAGGGAAGAATATACTCCTGAAGTTCCAAAATATTTGCCCTCTTTTGTTTGAACATGTTTTTTGTGTAATCTTTTGATTAAGATTCAGATAATACTTTGCCATTATTTCTAAAACATTTTGATGCTAGTAATTTACTGCTAGATGCTCTCTGATACAGGAAGGAAATGTTCTGTAGAGATTATTTGCAGCTCTGCCAGTCACTGGATGACCATAAAGACATCACAGTAAAAAGAGTTTTGCCTCTGACTTCAGGGTATTAGGGAGTGTCCCCTAACTCTCCTTTGGTTTTTATATTTTAATTAAAGGATGCCAAGTGCAACACATATTTTTTCCATGTTTTACTGTAAAAGGTTTGATATCATAAAATTTGAAACAATTAAACAGTGTGCACAGAATCACAGAATGGTTGAGTTTGGAAGGGGCCTCTGGAGGTCATCTTGTCCAACCTCCTCTGCTCAAGTGGGGTCACCTACAGCAGGTTGCCCAGCCACACATGGCTATTGAATATCTCCAAGGATGGAGACTCCATCCTTATGTCCTCACTAGATTTGCCTTTTGCACTGGAAAAGTCTCATGCGTCTTAGCAGGCAGACAACTCAAGGAGACGTTACCACTAATAAAAAGGACTGGAGTGTTTGGAGTTATCAGTAGAGGAGTCATGAGTAGACGTGTGGAGAGGATTAAACCTCTGCATACAGCCCTGGAGGGATCCACACTAGAATACAGATATAAACAGAGAGAAGAGCTGCAAAAAATGCTTCCAAGGTTAGGAAACAATGCCTTAAAAGACTTAAAAAACCAAATATTTGTGGTTTGTTACAGAGGAGATTGGGCAGTGACTTCATCACAGTGTATGAAAATATAACATAAACATTTAAAGTACATTGGCAAAGGCATAGCACCTCTCCTACACTAGAAACCTTCAGATGAGTTTCAGAGATCAAGAAGCAAGTTCCATAAGAAATCGTGAATGGTTGAGGCTGAGCTTCTGCCATAGTTTTTCTTCTCTCATTGACTTTGCCCGCATGTTGAGGCACGTGACAATTCTCAAATACTTGAAGGTTCCTTAAAAGAATGTAAACACAGGAAAATGGATTACTCCAACCTAGCAAATATATAGTGATGTATATTCCATGACCTAGAGGCATAAGAGGTGCTGCAATAGTCCTAGAATAATCCACTATTCAACTGAATTATATGCAACTAAGATTTTTTGATTCTTTTATCAAAATTATACTTTATATGATTTTTCCACCAGTAAAATTATGTGCATTGTTCAAATGCAACTATAGTGTATTTACTCTGGGTAAGGAGTTAATAAGGATATGTCAGGCAGTAGCTTAAGTCTTAAAAAAAGGTATAAAAAGTATGTATGATTAATATTTCTAGAGTTGATTAACATCTGCAAGAACAAATTATATCCAGTCAGGAGAGAATGGGGTAAAATCCTGACCTGGAGTCTGCAGGACTTTTACCATGAATCAAAATGAGTCCAGGACTTCACACAAGATCACTGCACAGACAATGCATGAAGCACCAAACTTGAACAGAGATCTAAAACAGAATGAAATTTCATCCTTTGTAATTGTTGGAACTAGACACTGGTTACAACATTAAAGACAAATTCCTGTATAAAAGCTTCCTGCTCATCTAAATGGGTCATTGCTGTTCAATACACAGACACATCAAAGAGCTGAGCATCCTCTGCCCCACCTTCAGCAATGGCACAAGAACACTCTACAGAGCCGAGCCCAGCCTGCTATGGCAAGCTATGAGGAAGTAAAGTCAGGCTGCCAGCCTCTCCTTCCTTCTTTATCTGATGCTTTGATTTAACGCTGTAAAGAGCTCAGTGATTTGCACCATCCATCATAACTGTACCTTCCCGATCACCATCAACCCCATAGCTTTGTGAGGTAGAAAACAACCTTGTGTTCTCTGCTGCTTAATCTAAAAACAGAAAAAAAAGAGGCATTCCTTGCTGCAGGAAAAAAATTATCAAGGATACAGATATCATCAGTAAGATAAGCAGTATATAAAAATAAATTTAGCCAGTGTTTCTAAAAGAGTTTAATTTGACAAAGTCTAAATCTAATCATCCACATCAAATAAGCGCCAGCCATAAAAAGGACTGCTTCCAGCACTGTATGGCTGAGACTTGCTGCCATTTTTTTTTTTTTTTTTGTTAAAAGTCGCTTTTGCAAGAAAGGAATTCCTCTGTCACCAAGAAGAGCTGATACTAATTTCTCTGCGGTACAAAGTATGTTTTGTCTTCTGTGTTCTGGGTCCCAGTCATTCTGTGCAGTTACAGTTTGCACAAAGAATCAGAAGCATTCACCAATTTGACGTCTATATGTATGTCCTGGTAACCCAGGGGAAAAAGAAACCAAAACCACTGCAGATTTAACAAAAGATGCTAGAAAGATCCACAGAGAGGATAAGAAATTGGAGTCTTGCTCTTTAAAGATAATTTAAAAGCAGTGCTTTTTTTTGGCTGCTTTATCAAAGCAGTGGACCAACACAATGTGAGAGGTCCACATTTCCACTGTATGACAGGCCAGCAGGATGGTAGAAGTGCAACAGCATCTGGAAATCTGTCATTATTAAGCACAAGAGCTGTTTGAATAGCCAGAGAATACATTTCTGTTGGTCCCTTGAGCCTAAAGTATCCACTAGCTGTTCATTTCCCCAGCTGTACCAATGTCTTCAAAAAGGTCTGAAGCCACAAGTTGCAGTGATCACCTTGCAGAACTGTCATTGTTTCTTTTGATAAGTTTTTTATTCTTGTTTGTGGGGATTTTTTTCACAAAAAGGGAATTTCTAGTTGGGGATTGGGGTTGGTTTTAGACCAGGTGACTAGCTATGTGTTTGTTAGTCTAGTAATCTATGGGCTTAATAATAGTTTATTTAAGACGACCTTCTGGGAAATGTGTTCAAAAATGTTTAATCAAGATAATCTCCTTATTTTAGAAGATGGCATGCACAGAAATGAGTTAGAAATTAAGTATTTAAATCTGCTGGCATGAAATTGCTTGATAGATCTTGGTTACCTTGAACCTTTATTGGAGTACCTTAAAAATACCTTATGTAGCTTTTTGTATTGTGTACAAGGGTACAGATAATTGTTGCTAATTCCCAATGGAAATGTAAGTATATAGAATCTAAGTACCCCAAAATGCACTAATTTAAAAGTCACTTCAGAGCTTAGGGTTCCATTTGTTCCCTTCTGTACCAAGGTTTTGGCTAGCGCACAAGTTTAAGTCCTGTTGGCACTGGGCCTGATTCAGACTAACTTCTTTGCAGATTTCCCAGAGGGTTAGAGGTTGCTTGGAGTGCTCATTATGTTAATTTCCATGATTAACCTGTTGAAAGTAATCTGATAGGAGAATATAGTTCTATTTTATTCCTTTTAAGTTAAGTCAGAATAACTTCTAATCACCTCTTTATCTTTGAAGTTTTTGGTTTATTGGGCTTTTGGAATTAAGGTGAGTTGTTAGGTTTTTCTGTGTACAATTGGCAAACTAAATTAAATTTCTCTACTTCCAGAGCATAAAATATATCTAAGGAGTAGAAGTAGTCTATAGAACTTGAATATATGTAGTTCTTCCATGCTATCCCAGAATTTGCACATCCCCAAAGGAATTAAACTCAAAACATACTAGAAATAACCAATTTTCTGACAAAAGAAACCCTCAAAATCATTGAAACTCACTGACCTATATTCAGTTAGGTGTTAGGAATACCAATGATCTTAAAAGAGTTAGGAATGAGCACCCAGTGTCCTGCAGTGACCGTGCTCATTTCTAAGACAATTAATAAAGTAAAATCTTTTCCTCAGTGACATCTGTTTTCACACACAGTGCCTTTCTGATTCATTCACCTTTTGGTTTAGAACACTACTTTCTTGATCTGTGCACAAAAGACAATCTCCTTTTTGCCATCTTACTGTGAAAAGAGTGGGATGTGGAAAGAGGTGGATAAAATTTGTATTTTGAAAAGTTCTCATTCTCCCCACACTGGAGAAGTTCCATTTGAGAAGTGATGTTTTGTTTTTGCCTGTTAGGCAGGTAGATGCAGTTGTGATCTTTAGATCTGCTTTTTGAAAGAAACCATTAAGAAAGTAACATGGGGAAACTGTTGAGTTACACTGTAAAATCATTCAAAATAATAAAATAGAAATACAGCTCTAAGAGTAACATTCACTCAACCACAAGGCGTGTATCTCCCACTTTCATGTCTCCCATGGAAGTGCATAAGGAAACTTCATTGTGCCTTTACTAAAATTAGCCTATAAATCATCTACATTTCTGATGTGGAATTTTATTCGTGAGTCCTCATTTTTTATCATGACTGATTTTTAGCCATAGGTATTTTTACTTTCAGTCATGGTTATTTAAACAAGTTCCTTTGTGCTATAAGTAGAGGAGCAGTTCAATGCAGTAACTCTGGTGCTAGACCAGTATCATGGTGTGCTTCCTTATTCTTCTACAGGGTCATGGAAATGCCTTATGCTTATCAGTGCTGTGCCTTTGGAGTTTGTGAGAGCCACTACAAAATCTCCAGCCAATGGAACAAAGATGAGAATAGCAGCATTGACGATTTTCACAGGAAGGATGCTGGGTTGTTACAAATTCAAGGTAATTGGCATCTTTGGCTTTTAAACCTACCTGAAGGCTGTGAGCAACCTGTGATGTTAAACAAATCCAGTACTCTTTTACAGTCACAGAGGCAGCCTCTCCCTCTCTCTTGCCCGATAATATGTTATTCAAGCATTCCTGTGCTTAGCAAACTCATTTTTTCAGCTCTACCTTTCAAAATTCTCACTCGCTCATCTTTCTGTCCAAATAATAACTATAATAATGTGGGAAGGGAAATCTTCCCTTCATTTGAGAGACAAGGAATTGGTGCTGGTATGTAACCCCATACAAGAACAGGGCAGCAAAGATCCAGTTTCTTGCCAGCCTTGGAAGCAGCAACACATCCTTGGCTCTCCTGCTGTCCACATGCTTCAGGATGAGTCACAGAGCTTATGTGGCTACTTTGGCATGGCTGCTGATATCTTTCCTGGCACTTCCTGGGTACCAGAGTGTATCTGCTCTCCAGGACAGAAGACTAGTGTATTTTTCTTCCCCTTTAGCATAAAGGAAAGCTGCTCAGTAGAAAAGGACCTGGGGGTGTTGGTTGACAGCCAGCTATGAGCCAGCAGTGTGCACAGGTGGCCAAGGCGGCCAACAGCATCCTGGCTTGTATCAGAAACAGTGTGGCCAGCAGGACCAGGGAAGTGATTGTCCCCCTGTACTCGGCACTGATGAGGCCGCACCTCGAGTGCTGTGTTCAGTTTTGGGCCCCTCACTACAAGAAGGACATTGAGGTGCTGGAGTGTGTCCAAAGAAGGGCAACGAAGCTGGTGAAGGGTCTCGAGCACAAGTCTTATGAGGAGTGCCTGAGGGAACTGGGGCGGTTTAGCCTGGAGAAAAGGAGGCTGCTGAGGGGAGACCTTATTGGTCCCTACAACTACCTGAAAGGAGGTTGTAACCAGGTGGGGGTTGGTCTCTTCTCCCAAAGAACAAGCGATAAGACAGAAGAAAATGGCCTCAAGTTGTACCAGGGGAGGTTTAGGTTGGATATTAGAAAAAAATATCTTCCTGGAAAGGGTTGTCAAGCACTGGAACAGGCTGCCCAGGGAAGTGGTTGAGTCACCATCCCTGGAGGTATTATGCTTAGGGACATAGTTTATTGGTGGACTTGGCAGTGTTAGGTTAACGGTTGGACTTGTTGATCTTCAAGGTCTTTTCCAACCTAAATGATTCTATGATTCTATAAGGTCTGTTACTAGACCTGTTACCTGTTATGTAGATGCGCACATACATGTTACACCATCCTGCTGCTTTCTGCGCTATCTCCGCTCCTGCAAACCAGTAAGTCTCAGCGTTCAGGGCTAGCCCCAGCAAGAATAGAGCCAAGAACACATGGTAGAGTGATAGCATAAGAAACATGGAAAAACTTGGGTTAATTCTTAGTAGCCTGGCACAACAGCAGGATTCATATTTTAAAGTCCTTCCTAGGCAGTCGTCACACTGCAAATTACATAATGGCGAATGTACCTGTAAGTGATTATTTTCAGAGAAGTGATGGTGCCAACTTTTTAAATAATCCTGAGTACAGTAATTCAAAACCAAGTAGGCAAGTCTGCTTCTGCTCATAGTTTGGCAGGCAAAGGGACAAAACCAGGCTTTAAATGCCGCAGGCATTTTTGCAATTTGTACTAAATTTTTCCTGAAAATTGCAGTATCAAATCTGAGTATTTTGTCTCCCATAGATGACCGTGACTTTGAAGATTTTTTTCTTGACTTTGAAGAAGATTTGAAAGCTCATCATTCAGTGCAATGCTCACCTTCTCCAGGTATGAAACTGCCAGACAGATAGGAATCCAAGCACAGTGCTACCAGATGTTCTAGATGCAGAACAAATTCTCATTCAGAGACTAGGACAGTAACATGATGTTCTTCAATAATTTGATAAGATTAATACAAATACATTGCACAATAATATAAAATTTTGCACTGCAGTCCAGAAAACTATTGCACTACTAAATTCATCTATGGGTGTAACAAAAGTTTTAGCCAGTCTTCAGACAGATCCTCACTCCAGGCCCCTTTTCACAGGAATTGATCCCTTTATCAAGGGAATGAGAGACCAAAGACTGTGTTCTACCACTTCACAGATGATAAAGGGGAGCGGAATCTTTGTTCGCGCAGTCTTTTGCAAAGCTAAAGTAATTCTTCTGAACTTCACTGAGTTATTCTACACTTGAGCTTACTGAACAACACACAGGTTAGTTTAATGCCTAGGAAATACCAAACACTACTGTATTGATGTACACAGTCTATCACAAAGGACCCCCGACACTGTCATTTTCTTTATAGAGTAGTGCATCCCTGGTTTCTCAGTGTGGCAGTAAGGAAAAAGAAATGCCTTGATTGAATTGCAAAGCTACAGGCCACCAATTCCACTGAAAGTCTCCTTTAAGGCAAGGAGAAAAACATGTCTTTGGAAGGTCGCCTCTAGCTTTAGCAGCCATAGTCCTAAGCTGTGCTTGCTTGATTTAGCAAACATCTTCCCTAGCCATTCTTTCATTGTGAAACATGGACAAAACACCCAACTTCAGCATTCATTCCAAGCCAAGATTCTTGTTTGTAACAGCAAATAATAATAAATTTTTAAGTTATGTAAAGAGGAATAGGAAAGGCAGGAAGCCAAAGAATTAAGAACCGTTTGACCATCACATATTCTCCTATGGCCTAAATAAACTACTGAGTTCACAAAAACGTTGCTGTCTTCAAGGTCAGTTATCACCAGACCCAAGAGAAAATTGAGTTTCCATGTTGATCTTTCAAATGGTATCTTAGAAAAACCTGAAAACTGACACACTAGATGCTTATGCCTACTTGATGACAGCAGCTGTAGTCATATGGAGCACATCTCAGCTGCGGGGTTTGTGTCTTCATGGAGAAGCACGGACCACTGTGAAGGACTTGCTTTGAGAGAGCGTAGCTGGCTCGTACCAAGATAAATAATGTTTCTCAGACTGGAGAGCATTCAGTTTCAACCACACAACATGTGCACCTCAGTTCTATGAGAATACATAGCAGGCTTCAATCTTAATGATCTGACTTTGGCCACAGGTCATCAGAAGCCCCTCCAAAAAGGCAGCACTTCCAAATGCAAAGACAGCCTCAATTTTCTTGGACTGTGTTATAAGGTAGCCAAAGTGCGTCTGTCCATACCCATTACATCACCCTTCACCAAGACTCATTAGCAACCTGTCCTAGTTTAGTGAGAGGTATCTTTTTCAGCTTTTTTCACATACTGACAACCATCACAGCATTTCTTGAAACTACAGACTGGACATCCACATTGCACTTGTACTGCTAGGCAAAAAAAGAAACCCATAGGGTTTGGGTTGAGGGACAAAGACTCATGTACCAGTAATGCAGCACGCATATAAGCAGCATGTTATCAAGGTCTTGGATTACTCCAAAGGAAGAACAAATTTCCAGCTCCCCTTTTGACTGAAATTCACTGCTTGACTGTGCTGGGAACATGCAAGAAGCATGAAATGTAATGTCTTGGAAAGCACAAAATTATTTTTTAACTTACATGGATTTCCCTTGCCCTTTTTATTTTGTCATTTCAGGTCCCTTCAAACCATGTGATCATCTGTTTGGTAGCTGGCTGATCAGAATTGGAGTGTGGACCATAGTGGGTTTGACCTTTACTTGCAACGCACTGGTGTCTGCTACAGTTTTCCGATCTCCATTGTATATGTCCTCCATAAAACTTTTGATCAGTTTAATAGCTATCGTAAATGCCTTGATGGGTCTGGCCAGTGGAGTACTAGCTGGCGTGGATGCATCAACTTTTGGTAGCTTTGCTCAGTATGGAGCGCAGTGGGAAAGTGGAATTGGTTGCCAAATAACTGGGCTTCTCTCCATTTTTGCTTCTGAGGCTTCCATTTTCCTCCTTACCCTAGCTGCACTTGAACGTGCATTCTCTGTAAAGCACGCTACAAAGTTTGAAACAAAATCCTCCATTGCTAGTGTAAAAATTGCCATTTTCTTTTGTTTTATGTTGGCACTAATCATTGCAGTGATACCACTCCTCACTGGGAGTGAGTATGGGGTTTCCCCGCTTTGTTTACCACTACCATTTGGAGAACCCACTGCTATGGGCTACATGGTGGCATTGGTATTGCTGAACTCCCTTTGTTTTCTGGTAATGACTATTGCTTATACAAAGCTCTACTGTACTTTAGAAAAGGGAGAACTAGACAACATTTGGGATTGCTCTATGGTCAAACATATAGCCTTGCTACTTTTTACTAATTGCATTCTTTATTGCCCTGTGGCCTTCTTATCTTTTTCCTCCTTACTAAACCTCACTTTTATCAGCCCAGAAGTGATTAAATCAATACTGCTAGTGATCGTCCCACTGCCTGCATGTCTAAACCCGCTCCTTTATATACTTTTCAATCCACACTTTAAGGAGGACTTGGGAAGTCTGCGAAAGCAAACCTTGTTATGGAGGAGATCAAAACATGCTAGTCTGATCTCTGTGAATTCAGAAGACATAGAAAAACAATCTTGTGACTCAACACAAGCATTGGTAACCTTCACAAGTGCCAGCATATCATATGACATGCCTACCAGCAATTCACTAATGCCATTGTCTTATCAAATGACAGAAAGCTGCAATCTTTCATCAGTCGCATTTGTTCCATGTCGCTAGCTTCAGTGGCAATACAGAAAATATCTATGTTTACAATTTCTTTAATCCCGAAAGTAAGTATGGGTGTGTGTATACAAGCTAGAGAGTGCCTCTGAATTATGGTTACACACATCAGAAAACAGACAATGACAAAACTTGCAGCAGGCTGAAAATTCAATACTTGAGCCTTCTCAGCCTGTTTACAAAATGCTGGGATGAAGAGAGAAACTGAAAGCTGCTGCAGTTTGTGCAGTTGTATCAGCTGCTCTCTTTTAAAGTAGCACTACTCAGAAAGGGCATCAGTTGGTCAAGAGCAAAAATACCATGTTGAATCGGTAAGCTTTTTTTCAGAGCATCACCTGGTACAGTTTATTTTCAGGGATTGGTTGGGGTTTTTTTCCCTTTTATTGTAATTTGGTTTTAATAATAGTTTTTCAGTGCCATGGTGGTTTTTATAAGCATCTATGTATGACCCTCTTTCAGCAAGGTACCTAAATGGAAGAGTAGTCCTGTTGAAGTCCTAAAGGTTTCTGCAGAAGAGACTCTGATGACTTTCCATGTTTGATAAAGCTGACTTAATAGTTTAACTGGCATTGGGTTTGGTTTGTAGAAGTCATTTGACTTGACAAAGCATTTTTAATTGTCAGCTAAACCTACAAAATTAACATGGTGTGAAAGAAGTTAATCAAGATCCTGTTAAGCACTTCAAATATAATTGTAAATAGCAAGCCATTGTCACATGGATGTTTTTCTATTGAGGTTCTGCACAGTTTGGTCCTGAATTGCTACCATACCAGTAGAATTACTCTCAGAATTACTGCTGATAAAATTGGCAGATGACTCGTAGAATTTGAGTGTGGAAAATACTGCATAGAAAGTCATCAATACAAGACAACTGGCATGCTGAAGGCAATGAAAGGACACCAAAGACACTCGCATAGAAACATTCATTTAAGGTCATTTGTCTAGGAACAAAAGCTGTAGTCTTACTTATGGCATGATCTCTGTCCTGTGAAGCATGATCCTAGAAAGCCTCTAGCTCACGGTCACTAGTCGGTTGAAAATTTAGAGGCCACTGTGTCCAAGGCAGTATCAAGTAGGAGTGAAGAGATTGTATGATCGGTGTTCTTAGTGCTGATGCAAGCACTACTGGACTATTTCAAACAGTTCTTGCATTGGCATGCTGTAAAGAATATTGTGAAGTTGAAAAGAATATGAATATCATAAATTTAAAGCAGCTTAAGAAAGAAGTTATTTTATCACAGTTTATAAGTAGCTGCTTCTGGGAAACAGAAGTTTGAAAGCAGAGGAACACAGTCAAGAGGAGAAGAGTCTGGTAAGATCAACTAGAAGTTGACATTAGGGATATGCAGCGTAGAAATAAATGTGCAAGTGGTTGACAGTGATGGACGTTAGCTAGTGGAACTATCTGTCACCAAAAATGTCTAAATTCAAATTGGATATATTGCCAAAAAAGGTATTGGGGCAGCTATTGGAATTCAGGGACTTCTGATGGCTTTAGTTTAGGAAAAGGTTAGATTAGGTTAACACAGAGTTCCTATCTGGCTTTAAATCTGTTAGTACTCTGCTGAATCAAGGCATGTATGTTTACACATCCTAAGCATCCCAGTTACAGAGAAGAGACTTCAGGACTTTGCTAAGTGTACTGTTAAAATTCTCAGACAACAGAGCCACCGTCACTTCTCTAGGATATCAGTCTTTGACCTTGGCCAAGCCATCAGGGGATATTCCAGTATTCTTTTCTCAGAGCTGGCACTTTTTGCTCAAGCTGATCATTTAGGACACAAAAGTGCACAAATTTACTTTGTTTTTGTTGTTAAAAATAGCTCCCTGAGGAGTAACATTTAATAGCCCAGTACTCACTGCTCAGTTAATGGCCACTCAACTTCCAGGTGAATGAGACTAATTTTTTAACATTACCAAGGCTAGGCTAGCCCAGTAATTAAGGTAATCAGTTACAGATGATCTCTGTTGTTCATCTGGTACTATATATAAAACTTCCTGGGACTCAAAGGACAGATTTTCACAATGAAGAATTTGTTGCCAACAATGGATATGCCTTGATTTTCTTGTCCATTCACACTGGCATATTTTTAGTTTTGCAGCTACAGATGGCATCAGTTGACTTTGGCTGACATGTTCATCCTTCAGGAAAAAAAAATGAACCAATGCTGAAATTATGTATGATAAAGTCAGCTGAGTACTTATCTTAATCCTTTATCTCTTGTGGCTTTTGAAGCAGTGCAGCATACAGCTGGAGAATGATGCCTGAAACCACTTTGGATTAAACAGAGGATCAGTCAACCATTGCACAATACCTATTACCATGTTTACTTAGCTTTAATTTAACCGGGGTCCATCTGTGCTGCACTGCTTAATGTCAGTGAAATTCCTTTCAGCTCGCTATATTTAAGAAGTTTGTAAAGTGATTTGAGAAGCAAAATAATGTTATAGTTCTAAAGAGTAGTTAAAGAAAGCTTCTTTTATCAGAACTTTTTTAGCTTGCAGAAAGTCCTAAAGGCTTTGTGTCTTATTTTTATAAGCATGTTTGAAATATTTTGATCAGATATTTTAAACTTGAAATTGTTAAAATTCATTTAATAGATTTTTAAAGTAAAATGTGTAAATATAGAACTGTATTTATTATTACAGTGAAATGCAACCACAGTAAAGGACATGAGATTAAGCCCTGTACAGTTTCGTATTGATATTTGCTATATTTTCTGCTCATATATATTACTAAATTCATTATCTGTAAATAATATAATGTAAATGTGTAGTGATTGTAAATAGGTGACATGCTTTCTTTTCTATCAGTGTTCCAAACATATGTAAGTTGTAATAAAATGTGACTAAACAGTAAAGAGCATTTAATCAGGACCTAACACCTCACAAAATTGTGTGCATCCTCAATTAATCCCTCTGAAGTTGTTATAATACTTACACCAACCTCCCCAGATGTTCAAAATTCTTGGCAAATTGTGACTTACAGGTTGCGTGCTCTCATTAGGTGCCCAGGGAGCAAAAATATAAAGAATAGTGTTTCATTTCAACACAGACTAAGTCTTTTACCAAAACTTCACTCACAGACCCTTATGAACACATCCTGCTCCCTGTGCACGCCGCCTGTATCTCAGTGATGACCTCTCACAATTGACACGTGCGAGACTGGCATGTCCAACCATGCAACAAGGGCGCGCATCAGGTCAGGCAATGAACGTGCCTGAGGTACCAGCAGGCTTCACACCATACTGGACTACGTGAAAGATGAGGTTCTGCTTCTTTAAGCTGCTGCTTTTGGTGAGACAGCAAATTCTCCCACATACTTCCTTATTTTCTCTCCAATCCCTTATGTGGCAGATGAAGCAAACGGGATTACCGAACAGCTGGCAACATTCATCTGATACATGGCAGAGAGGCAGTAGCATCATCACATATGAAATGCATAGGATGCAGATGCTAAGAGCAAATGAAAGGTGAGGCCCAAAACATGGTGCTTGGCAAGAGACAGGTTGCTCAGGCTGCACTAGAAGTGACAGCTGAGTTGAATTTTAAAGACAGGCAGCAGCTGAGCACAGTCATGTCATCATCTAGGCATCGAGGAAAGGTGAGACAGCGGATGTATTCTTGTTAGGAGGGAGGGACTGCAGCTTAGAACAGTTGTATGTGCTTGGTTTTTCAGAGACCGTGATTCTGTAAAGTACATGAAAGAAAGAGATAAAATGTGAGAAAGCAATCATTTAGTCAGGAATTCACTCCATATGGTATTTAACAAATTACAAAGGAAGGAAGGAAGGAAGGAGGGAGGGAAAGGGAAAGGAAGAGAAGGAGTCATGGATGTAAATTGATTTTAGCAGGGAGTGTGCAGGTTCTCAGCTAGAGTGGATGGGGTCATTTCAGCCAGAAGGGCCAGTGGAGAAGTAATTTTGGTGGGTGAGTTTCAGAATAGTAGTATTGAGGTGGGACAGAACCAGCAGTGAATGAGGATGAGAAAGGCATTAATTATCTGTGGGAGGAAAAAAACAGAAACATGACAAAGATAGCATAGGGGGAGTGCATTAAGCCAGGGAGGAGAGAGGGCTTGCAAGAGACAATATGCAAACAGGGGCAGAGTTTTATAGGGTATGAAGAAGCGTGGTGGAGTTTTGTGAAGGATGAAGAGCTCGGAGTGGATACAAAAGGATGGAAGCAGTCTGATGGCTGAAGAGATTGAAATGGTACAAAAGCAGGCAGTGAGGATGCTTTCACATGCACACACTTGCACCAGGCAGCATAAACAATTTTAGAGCTGGGGGCCATCAGGGAGCAAAATGGAATTGTGTTATTTGAGGAGGGAAGTACTATAGCTT